TCAGAATCCCCCTCTATTTCCATCACTGGTGGGGTCCAAAGGAGTGCAAGGGTGCACTACGTTTGGCACCAGCTAGGACGCAGGAGAGGCTGAATGAATGGACCAGTACATCGGGGTAACCCCCTCGAAAGATGCACTGGGTTCTTTAAAGTGCACACGAGCCAAATGTGTACACTGGGCCTACGGTTTAAAGTCCTTATCCGAGAAGACTTGTTCCACCTCCGGAACCATAGGCGAGCGTGCCGTTCGAACCAGCGCCGAATGTTATGGCTATAGGTAGCGGCAACAGCATAATGTGTGTCTCTGAAATCGACTGTAGGACATATATCATATTATATCCAGAGGAGGGTGGGAGCTGCCGGCCCGTTGCCCCACTATATCTGTCAAAATACTTTTTAAATGAGAATAAAAAGAAAATTATATTCACAATCTCATGTCTCTGTAAGTGCCATTTCCAGCCATCTAGAGGTGCCATAATCATAAATTTTCATAAATAAAATTGGTACGACTAATCCAACTCCGCTCCTTGTTAGTACTGATGACACGACGCCGTCTGCTTACAAACAGAAGTATGGTACAAGGTGTCAAATAAAATAAGTTTGGCACTTTGTGCATTGAAAGCTTATCAAACACGACGCAATGAGACGACTAATTGAGGTATTAGCTTGAGGTATTGTAGTATAATTGATACCGCACACCATATTTTTTTAAATTGTTTATTACCTTCAATGAACTGTTCACTTAAGAGAAAGATTATAATTAAACATAAAGAAAACCACGAATAAAGGAGAATAGAAAAAAAAATGAGCTATGCTCACAAAAGAAATAGGCCTATACAAAATGATGGCATATAGGGGCCTACATTTTAAGAAAGATTATCGATATGTTTTACATTTTGTATCTGATTTTTTATTTTAATGAATGAATGAATAAAAGTGGCAGTACGCAGCAAAAAGGGAAAACAAAGTGTCATTTTGTTTCTGTCATTGGTTTTCACGGTCAAGATTAATATTGCATTGTTTAATTGTTTAGTGTTACATTAATTGTAGCGGCAGTTTGGCGCAGCGGTATAGGTTTGAACTTTCAATCGTAAGGTCGGGGTTTCGAGTCTCCGCTGTGCAGATTCGCTTGTGTCCTTGGGAAAAGCACTTTAGCTACATTGCTTCAGTCCACCCAGCTGTATCAGTGGGTACCAGCAATCTGCTGGGGACTAACCTGCGGTGGACTAGTGTCCCGTCCAGTGGGAGGACAACTCTCATCTGCTTCACACTACAGAAACTTGGGATAAGCTCCAGCCCTATGAACCCCAGTGGCTCGGAAAGGATTTAGTAGTAGTAGTTTAGTTACATTAATTGTTTGAGTGGTGTTTCTATTACAATTAGGGACCTAAGAAGTGAGAATCCGTACCAGCCCTTATCGCGAAGCTCCACTACGTACGAATATGTAATGCCCAGCGCACCATATGTCCAATCCACACTGTTTCCTGATGCTACATCTGGAGATAAAATACAATAATACGGTATTAATCTACATGATAATATACCAGTAAATTTTGTATTTGCCTAATAAAATTATATACAATATAATTAAATATTATTGTTCTCCATTATTATTTGTCGACTTTAAAAAACTAGAACGAGAAAATAGTATCATAAATTTAAACAATAAAATTCAATATTTGTTCTTGTAATATCAGTATTTATAGAAACCAAATGAAGTTATTTGAACATTTTAAAGTGCTTGTGTTAATAAAAAATGTCCCGACTGTTCAGAGGCGCCATAATCACAAATGCTATAACCTGAGCCCCAACCAAGGACCTGGCGTGGTCCAGACCATCTATCTGTTCTCCCCCCCCCCAACTATGTCAAATCTCTTGATCCGCCACTGATCTCTATAACTACATTGACGAATCTAGAGATTCGATCATTAATTCCATGAAGCCTAAACCATCTTTCAGAGATCAACCATCTGGTGTGTTATCTTTCTTTACAGTGTTCAGTATGTATAATTTCAATATCTTACACATCGTATTTGCTATCGGTCCATGCGTGTAGTTAGTTCCATAGGCAGCGACCACGGCAGCTACCGCGTCTGCCAGCAGATTGTTCTGATCGTCAAAGTCATCGGGTCGGGAATTTTCGGTGTAACCCCACGGCGACATCCACATTTGTCCGTACGAGTGGAAATCAATAAAAACGCGTATATCCTCACCAGAATTGACCAGATTTGTCATGTACTCAGTGACGCTGCGAACCTCTATCTCTGACATCACTTCGGAACCGGCGTACGTGGCATTACAAGGATAGGTACCCGCACCCGGTTCTGCAATAATGTTAAAAATAATAGATACGAGTTTTATTCACATACCTCGAGTATACATTTTAGATAAAATTATTGTATTTATTTAGGCTTTATTACACAGACCTATTATATAATATAACATACTGCATGGGCCTACATATTTGACATAGTCCTACATACGAGTACTGTAAGATACTTCGATAATGTATAAATATGACTGTTCTTAATGGATGTTTAAAATAATAAAGGAAAAATTTTAATTTGCAGAAAAGAAATGCTTATATATTGTAAATTGATTGAAATTAATGGTACTGTATATGTAATATAATTGTTATGGCATGTAGTAAGAAGTCAGATTAATCTTTTACAAATTGTCGTCTTATATTATATTGGATTGTAAACACTATTTTTATTGTATTGCTTAATCTTAGATAAATGTAAAGAAATATTTAAACTATTTAAGTTATTGTTATTAATGAAAAGAAAATATAATTTACAGAAAAGAAATAGAATACTCATAATAAAAATTTTCTTTTGAATTTTAAACTTTTCTAATTTAAGTACAGGCATATTAATTATTATTTTTGAGCCGATTATGTTAAAGAAATATTTAATTGTGTAATTTGGGCGTTCCATTTACAAGCTACATGCTTCAGGAATTTCCTATTTTCTTTTATCTTTAAAAATGAATTTATGTACATTTATATTTTAGTTAAATTTACATGCTCAAATGAAATAAATATTTTGACACTGTCATAGCTCCTGCTATCATTATCAAAGTGAGAAAACTTGCGAGATCTTACACATACATAAAGAATAAGAAAAGGTAATAACCAATCAGAACCAAGTATATATATATATCAGCGCCAATACAGCGACACTTTTGATTTTAACTAATATATGTACAGTACATATATTATATACCGCATATCTTTCTATACGGTAACAATTGCTTATAAAAAAAAATACTACAATTGAACATTTGCCTAATATTTATTAAAAATATATATCAATGTGTCTTCGAAGAAATGATAAATTCCAGCTATAATATCTATTAAACGACGCAAGTTCTGATACTACAAAATATGGTTCAAAACAACTTTAAGTCCTTCGAATGTTTCAATGGCCGTTGGTTCTATAAATCTGGGTGGAAGTGAGAATCCGTACCAGCCCTTATCGCGAAGCTCCACTACGTACGAATATGTAATGCCCAGCGCACCATATGTCCAATCCACACTGTTTCCTGATGCTACATCTGGAGATAAAATACAATAATATTAATCTACATAATAATATATCAGTAAGTTTTGTATTTACCTAATAAAATTATATACAATAATATAATTAAATATTATTATTCTCCATTTTTATTTGTCGACTTTTAAAAACTAGAACGAGAAAATAGTATCATAAATTTAAACAATAAAATTCAATATTTGTGCTTGTAATATCAGTATTTATAGAAACCAAATGAAGTTATTTGAACATTTTAAAGTGCTTGTGTTAATAAAAAAAATGTCCCGACTGTTCAGAGGCGCCATAATTTTCTATTCGGTATGCGAATCAGTTGAATAACTTTTTTAATAGATTTGACAGGGAAAATTTTAGAGTGGAAAGAGACAAAATATTATCTGAACTTGGAAATAATACAGTAAGTTCGAATTTCTTAACGGATGAAACCACTGTCCGCAACTATTTTAGGAAACTTAAAACATCGAAAGCACCTGGCCCAGATAAAGTACTGCCTATGGTATTATAAGTCTGTGCTGACCAGTTATCTTCAGTTTTTTCCAGTTTGTTTAATTTTTGTATGGAAAAACTGATAGTCCCCAAAATATGGAAGAAATCATGTATTGTTCCGATACCCAAGAGACAGTGATCAGTGAGATGAACGATCTCCGTCCAATAGCTCTTACATCTGCGGCGATGAAAGTACTTGAGAAAATTGTAATTAATGTGTTTAAAAATTATATGGATCCCCTGCAATTTGCTTACTGCAGTAATCGTTCCAATGAAGATGCGCTTCTTCTTAAAAATGATAGATTGTATTCCCATTTGGAACATGTGAGCAAGGGCCACTCGGTGCGACTGATGTATTTTGATTTTTCGTCAGCTTTCAACCACATATTTTGGCCACTAAACTCATTAATATGAATGTTCCACCATATCTTATTACTTTTATTTTAAACTACAAATCGACCACAGTATGTAAGAATCGGTAATATTATTTCTGGTGCCCCGCAAGGCACCGTACTTGCTCCGTTTCTATTCACTATTTACACTGCTGACTTTAGATCAGCTAATGAATGTCCAACAATTAAATATGCTGATGATACGGTAATCTTGGGTCTAATTAGGAAGGACGACCTGTCTTTGTATATTTCAGAAATTCAAAGGTTTGTGTCTTATTGTCAAGATAACTTTCTTGAAATTAATACAGAGAAAACGAAAGAAATGGTGATTGAGTTTCGAAAAAAGCGGGTTAAGGAAGAAAGTATCATTATTGAAAATAAAGGAATAGCACAAGTTACATCGTATAAATATCTGGGGGTAATCTATGATAATCAACTGTCGTGGGGAATTTTCTGTGACCATTTAGTTAAGAAACTTAATGTGAGAATGTTTTGCTTTAGGAAACTTAATTCTTTTCAGGTCAGGAAGGAGATAATGCTGTCATTTTATAATTCTATTATTCTCGGATTACTTTGTTACTGCTTAGTTTGTTGGGGTGGGAATATTTCACAGGAGGTGATAGGGACAGGTTACAGAAGTTTGTTAACAGGTTTGGGAAGATTATCGGTTCGGAACTGCAATCGGTGCACTCAGTCTACGAAGAACGACTAGTTAATAAGTTTGAGAACGTGATGTCTGACGAAAGTCACCCGTTACATTCAACTATTGCTAGTTGCGTTATACTACGCAGCGGTAGACTGAGGGTACCGGCTGCTAACACGAACCGTTATTCTAACTCATTCATTGCGAGGGTCATTTACCTGTTTAATAGTAGATATGTAAGATAGTTATTATTTATTGCATTGAATTACTTTTCCTGCTTAATTTATTGAAAGAGCGATGTCATTTCCAAGGATTTGGATTAATAAAGTGATGTCTATGTCTATGTCTATGTCTAATCACAAATGCTATAACCTGAGCCCCAACCAAGGACCTGGCGTGGTCCAGACAATCTATCTGTGGAAGTTCTCCATTAATTCCATGAAGCCTAAACCATCTTTCAGAGATCAACCATCTGGTGTGTTATCTTTCTTTACAGTGTTCAGTATGTAAAATTTCAATATCTTACACATCGTATTTGCTATCGGTCCATGCGTGTAGTTAGTTCCATAGGCAGTGACCACGGCAGCTACTGCGTCTGCCAGCAGATTGTTCTGAACGTCAAAATCATCAGGTCGGGAATTTTCGGTGTAACCCCACGGCGACATCCACATTTGTCCGTACGAGTGGAAATCAATAAAAACGCGTATATCCTCACCGGAATTGACCAGATTTGTCATGTATTCAGTGACGCTGCGAACCTCTATCTCTGACATCACTTCGGAACCGGCGTACGTGGAATTACAAGGATAGCTACCCGCACCCGGTTCTGCAATAATGTTAAAAATAATAGATACGAGTTTTATTCACATACCTACCTCGAGTATACATTTTAGATAAAATTATTGTATTTATTTAGGCTTAATTACACATACCTATTATATAATATAACATACTGCATAGGCCTACATGTTTGACATAGTCCTACATACGAGTACTGTAAGATACTTCGATAATGTATAAATATGACTGTTGTTAATGGATGTTTAAAATAATAAAGAAAAAATTTTAATTTGCAGAAAAGAAATGCTTATATATTGTAAATTGATTGAAATTAATGGTACTGTATATGTAATATAATTGTTATGGCATGTAATAAGAAGTCAGATTAATCTTTTACAAATTGTCGTCTTGTATTATATTGCATTGTAAACACTATTCTTATTGTATTGCTTAATCGTAGATAAATGTAAGGAAATATTTAAACTATTTAAGTTATTGTTATTAATGAAAAGAAAATATAATTTACAGAATAGAAATAGAATACTCATAATAAAAATTTTCTGTTGAATTTTAAACTTCTCTAATTTAAGTACAGGCATATTAATTATTATTTTTGAGCCGATTATGTTAAAGAAATATTTAATTGCGTAATTTGGGCGTTCCATTTACAAGCTACATGCTTCAGGAATTTCCTATTTTCTTTTATCTTTAAAAATGAATTTATGTACATTTATATTTTAGTTAAATTTTCATGCTCAAATGAAATAAATATTTTGACACTGTCATAGCTCCTGCTATCATTATCAAAGTGAGAAAACTTGCGAGATCTTACACATACATAAAGAATAAGAAAAAAAAAAGGTAATAACCAATCAGAACCAAGTACACACACACACATACATATACATACATACATTCCGAGATTTTTGCAGGATTGCAATTGATTTCCTTGGGACTGGAAGGCCATGCCAACAATGTAATGTTATTCCTTATTATTTGATGATACTGGCAACAGATTCCAATGTAAACTAATCTAATCTAGTTTGTATTTAATTAGCGCTTATTCCAACAGTCTCTGTCAGATATGCGCATAGTTCATTTATTTATTTATTACCAATTCGACACAAAGATGAATATATACAATGGATGAAATTGCTTGGCGAGTGTCTAGAGCAAGACATGGGCAAGGGCCAAGGCCCAACCGCATTGGTGGCTCACTGTGTTCTCTCAATTTAATAGAAATAAAAACAATAGAGAGACAATCAGTGGCGTATCTAGGGGTGCGTGGGCGGACGCACCCCCCCCCCCCCCTTGTGCCCCCCCCCCAAAAACAAAAAACAAAATCACACTCAAGCAGTTAAAAATCACTTTATTTTCGAGCTCCCCCACCTAATCATCACCCCCACGTGAACTTCGCGCCCCCATCAGCTCCCGCATTTCAAGACTCCTAGATACGGCAGGAGACACTCAAGAAATACAATACTTACGCCTGTCCAAGTGAATTCATAACCGTCAACGTTGAATACAGGAATGATGTAAATATTCAATCCGTCTAATAAAGTGGTGATTTCATTCTGTGATCCATATTTAGAAACCAACTGTAAAATCGCAATGGTAATTAAGGTTTAGTGTTTCTATAGCACCTTCCACAATAAAAGGAAAACAATACAAAAAAGAAAGGAACGTTAAAATTCCCTAAGATATTACACACGGAATAACACTAATTCCCCGTAGACAGGTCGGTCATGTGTAGATACTGTGTGTTCTGAGCGGAAAGTTTCATACACCCCGAAAGAGAAAACAGTTAATGTCGAGAATTATTCTTACTTCATTGGTTATGAAAAGTAAAGTTGCCGGCGAGATCCACTCACGTGCGTGGATGCCTCCCTGAAGCCAGACGGCAGGTTTGCTATCGCCAGTAGGAGAGCCACGTCCAATCTAGAAAAGAGATCTTTTTAAACATTGTACACAATACCGGTACTTTTAAATTTAACAACTTTATCACCGTTATTTTCACTTTTAGGGCTATTGATAATTATTAGTATTGTTTTTGTTGTGTGTTTGTCGCTCAGTGTGCTTATTATTATTATTATTATTATTATTATTATTATTATTATTATTATTATTATTATTATTATTATTATTATTATTATTATTATTTATTAGACCATTTTATAATTTAACATAACAACAATTAATTTAATAAACATACAGTTACTGTTGTATTTAATGTGTGTGTGCCTACCTGTGCATGCGCATTAGAGATTGCAATAGTGATTTTATAAACATTTTAATGGTAAATAGATAGTATTTTTATAAAATTGGAATATCATAAGCTTCGAGTTTACAGCAATAAATAATTTCATAATCATTAAAATACATCGCCTAACAATATGTAGATGGGCCTACCTTCAACGCCGAGATTACTCGTCCTTCATGAGAGCTTCCAACTTCCACCTTAGTTGCAATATTTGCATGTGCCACTACGATTTCATCAATCCAGTCGGTAATCTGACAAAATATATCGTTAACGTTAAGTCGTAGGTTTCTATATATATCTACAACCGAGCACTCACCGCGTCGTACGACCGTCGGCCGACGAATCCAAATCCGCTCCCTTTCGAGCGCTGGGGACAACGTGCAGTTGTTGTCTGAACGGATCGTCATTAAAAACAATTCGTTGCGAGCGCGTCGTGGCGTTGTGTTCTCCGTAAAATCTCGTCGGTCGTCGGGCGCAGCAGTGGCAGTTCTAGGATATATTTTCTGGGGGGGGGGGCTAAGTTGTTCGACGGGGGGACTTGAGCTCGTAGGCTCAAGCTGGGAGAAGGGGTTGAGAGTGGGTTCCCGCTCCCAAATTAGATTTTTTTAAAGAATATCAACCTATAGATGGTCGAAAATGGCACTCTCAGACTGTGACAGACATGTGTTGGCTTGGTGTGGCCTATTTTTATATGTTTTATGGTCTGAATGCCCGACGAGCTCTGTCCGGCGGAGGGGCTTGACCTGTCCGGTGGGGCTTAAGCCCCCTGCCACCCCGCTGGCGCCGCCAATGGGGCTCAGGCTCAAGATGCGCTATTGTAACTTGTATTTCAGCCATCCAGCTGGAACACAAGGAAAGGCAGCGATGGGAATTGAACCGGGGACCTAGTGATCTCCACGGTTCAGGGCACACACAATGGCTACTACCAGATTAGCCGACTGAGCTAAGCTGCTCTCTCATATATCTCTCATATAGGCCATTTTGTGTATATTATATGAAAAACCACTATGTTTCTTAACAGATTGAAAACTTTTTAGTACGAATTGCATTTGTACAGTTGATTGATCGTTTTGTCAGTTTTAAATTCGGAAGGCAGCTTTTTCTAGGTAAAGGTAAGGTAAAGGTAGAGGAATAACCCATAACTTGCAGCGTCATTGTGCTGAATTGCGTATGGTCGTGGTCCGTGACTACCTAGCAGCCGTAAAGAGGCGCTTGTCGGTAGATACAAGTTCACATCATTCCACAACGACAGGGGCTGAAATGAACCATAACATCGGGATAACCCCCTACTCTTCCGAAAGATGCAATGGGTTTTTTAAAGTGCACACGAGCAAGATGTATACACTGGACCTCCATTTTAAGTCC